AAAGGAAACCTTCTGACTGCTGATTGCACACCTGGCTGGGTTGGGCTTGCAGCACTCTGCTCCAGAGGAAAGTGTCCCTGCTCATGGCAGGGGTGTTGGAATGAGATTATCCTCAAGGTCCCAAGCCTTTTAGACATTCTGTGATTATGAGTTTTGTTGCTGTTGCTTGAAAAATGGCCACTCTTTCAATTTATTGTGGGAGTGAAATATTCTGTGCACTTCACTCTGTGATGATGCCAAATTTATACTTTGTAAATAAAAATGAATTTAAATTTTTCCTGGGCTACAGAGGGAGGCTGTACCGTGCTGGTAGTTGGGAGAACACAGCTTTTGGTGGCATTACCAGCTCCCAGTGCACTCAATTTTCTCCTTATCTCCTTCCAGTCTGCCTAGAGAATGGGCTGGGGACTTTACTGGGGTGCCAGATTCTGGATGGCCTGTGCTGGTTGGGGTGATGAGAGGAAGACAGAATTCACAGTTACAGCTGTTTTCTCCATTTCTGTATCTGAAAGTATCAGTTCAGGACTCACACAAAGCTGCTGCTCATGGCACATTCCTTTTTCTTCCCTTTGTGCATTCTCAGTCTCTGTAACCTGCTGCTGGGAAACAGAATTTAATCAGTGCTCTGCTAATAAACTCTGCCTGCTGCTCTCCACAGGGTCAGGGGACACGGGCACAGGGCCCCAGATGAGGAGGGACGTCTCCACTCGCTGTCCTGTCTTTACTGACAGCAGCAATTTCTTGCAATTAGGCTCCTGCAGCAGGTACTTAACCCTGGGGCAGCAGCTGATTGTCTGTGTTTAACCTCCCTGCTCGATTTGAGCTCAGTGTTCAAACCCCAGCATCCCCCCACGGCTTCCTTTCCTCTGTTCTTCCCCTGGTGGAGGGTTACAGAGCTCTGGCAATTGTTATTGATAATCTAAAGCACCCTTTTCTCTTCTGTGCATCACCTTGAGAGGGAGGAGGGCTCAGAACAAAATGAGCTCTGTGACACTCAATAAGGAATGAGCAAAACTGGCCTTAAAAGTCAGCTTTTCTGTGAAATTCTGATGCAGGAAAGGCAGTCTCTGGACATTGTTTGCTCAACAATGGACTGAGAACACACTGAAGGATCACTGGAGAGTTTGTTTCATTCAGGCCACCAGAATCATCAAATCATTTAGGTTGGAAAACCTGTGACGGTGTTCACAGGTTTCTGAGGATGAGGGAAGAGACGAGATCTGACTCCATGTTTCAGAAGGCTGATTTATTACTTTATGATATATATTATATTAAAACTATACTAAAAGAATAGAAGAAAGGATTTCATCAGAGGGCTAGCTAAGAATAGAATAGCAAAGAATGATAACAAAAGCTTGTGTCACGGACAGACAGTCCGAGCCAGCTGACAGTGATTGGCCATTAATTAGAAACAACCACATGAGACCAATCACAGATCCACCTGCTGCATTTCACAGCAGCTGATAACCATTGTTTACACTTTGTTCCTGAGGCCTGTCAGCTTCACAGGAGGAAAAATCCTAAAGAAAGGATTTTTCATGAAAGATGTCTGTGCCAGGAAAACCCTTTAAGATCGAGTCCAAGTGTTGGCCCAGCACTGCCAAGCCCCCTATTAAACCATGTCCCCAAGTGCTCTACACCTACATGTGTTTTAAATCCCTCCAGTGGCTGTGACTCTAAAAGCTCCGTGGGCAGCCTGTTCCAACACCTGACCATCCTTTCTGTGAAGAATATTTCTTCATATCCAATCTTAACATCCCCTGGCCGTTCTCTCTGCTCCTGTCCCATTCCCTGGAGCACAGCCTGAGCTGGGGCTGTCCCCTCCTGTCAGGAGCTGTGCAGAGCCACAAAGTCCCCCCTGACCCTCCTCTTCTCCAGGCTGAGCCCCTTCCCAGCTCTCTCTGTGACTCCTCATAGGACTTGAGCTCCAGACCCCTCCAGACTTGCACATCCCAAGGATTCCAGAAAGGCTCCTGGCTGCTGAGTGTTTGCTGCAGCCCACCAGAGTAATGAAAGGTAGCAAAGCATCAGTGGGTGATGAGGTATTAAAAAACCCTGTTCAGTCCTTGACTTTGATGTGAACGTTGCAAATGTAATTAATGGTTCAACCAGGCTGAAATAAAAATACAGCATTTGCACAGTGAAATCCCAGAGACTGCAATTTTCCTTGCGTAGGTTCAAGACTCGTTTCAGATTTGTGGCAGCTGTTTCATTGTTTAAGCTTCTTAAAAATGTTTTTTTTTTTTCCCCCAAGCTCTTGGGACATATAGAAAATTTTACTTCAGGGTACATAGTTTACACCAGTATCTGATCTCCTAAGTATTCAAATTGCTGGTCTGTTTCTATCTTGCTTTAGTAGGTATCTTTGTATAGTTGAAGCTGATATATGTATTAGCAGCTTTTATTACACTAGCCAAGTGCAAAGTTACTACTTTTCAGATATTTTCTTGCATTATTTGGAAGCTATCATCTCAAGAATACAGAAATGGAGACATTTGTCCAGTTTCATATATCAGCACTCCCAGAGAATTGTACATGAATTATAAATTTCCCTTATCTTTTGGAAGGAAACATTATGAAAAAGGTGATGTTAGGCAGGTCCCAGGAATAGCTACAGACCTTTTGAGACTGAATACTCACAGAGCTAGTAGGCAGAAAGAATTATACAGAGAGGACAGTAGGACCACTGCCCTTTAAAAACAACAATACAAAATCTCATCCTGGAAAAGGAGGTTTCAATGGCTTCTGCTGCGGAGGAAATCAGTGTGGCAACAGGAAAACATTTTCAAAATGGTATAGTCTCAGTATTCAGAAAAAAAGGAGATTGAAACTGGAGAGAATAGAAAGCTTACCAGGGCCAGCTTCTGTTTGTTGATTTAATCCCAGTTTGGTTTGTCCCTCTCTGAAACTAAAATTTAAGTAGTTTTTACTTACTTATTCTCCCTCTACTTAAACATCTAGACAGCCACCAGACGTGTATCTCTAGACTTGCAGGGACACCCCATGGCTTGGGTATTTGAGACTGGTTTAGGACTGTCAGCCTGAGAACAGATGGTTCTTAGGAAAAATGTGGTGCAGTGGGGTCTGCACTATGGATTTGGCCTTCTTGCTTTGTAACCAAACTCATCTGTGGTTCACAGGCTGGTTACTCAATCAGAGACTGTTTCAAACTCTGTGTGTGTGATGGAGCTTGCAGCATTTACAGCAAAGTTTTGAGCAGAATTAGAAGCTGGTTGCAAGAATCTTCTAACACAAGGTTTGGGGTAGGAAAGGAAAGGGCAAATGTGGACAGGATGAGAAAGGAAGCTAAAAACAGCAGGAAATCTTCCCTTCCCAGCTTTGGGCAGATGACTTGGTGAGGCGATGATCAGGTTGTTCCTTACTCACAGGTACAGTCAGCACATCTGACATCCATTAACCAAACACCCTGTAATTGCTGATTCACTCCATAACATGACTGATTTAAGGGCAATATTTGTAATTAAAAAAACAAGATACAGTCAGTATAACATCACCATGCTGTTGAATTGTCATTTTCAGCTGCCTTACTGCATTTTTGTGAAATGTTTTTGCCTCATCTCAGCCACGTTCTGAGTTGGGCTCTGCAGTTGAGTGCTTGGTGTAATGCAGACTTCAGGAGGGCAAATATCTGCATTTGCTTTTGCTTTTCTTTCCTTTGGATCCATCTTGGAATGACTACCTTTACTGTTTCAGAAGCTGAAAATTTTCAGAGAACCATTCTTTTGTTGATGTAATTTATCTGTACAATTCATCTGCAGAAACATAAATTTCAGGGATTTATAGAAAATGAATGTTCAGCACCTCATGCTAAGTATATATGTGTATGTTCATGCATAAAAATTTCCTAATTTCTAAATTAATCTTTTTTTTGCTTGACACACAGAGTTAAGGACTCACTTTTAAGAGGTGTTTTCTGGATGCTGAGGGATTGACATGATTTATAGGAAAATCTAAAACATTTGCTAGCTTTAGACCCCTGGTCTTTTAATAGCCATCCCATTTCCAAAGTGTCTGCACATGTGAATATCTATAAAAGGATGCAAATACTTTCCCACTGCCAGTCCTTAGGGGATTTTTAGCAGTAATACAGAATGTGCAGGTTGTTAAAATGTGTTTTCTGCTTATGCATGAGTAGATTGAAGTCAGGGTGGCTGGTGCATGCTTTACTTTCAAGAATTACTAGAAGGGTTTTTTTACACTTTAATTATCTCTCAAAGAGGTGTGACTGGTATTCAGGAATCCTTCCAACATTTTTGTTCCCATGAAAACATTTTTTTTGTAGGTTGAAGTCGTGAGAGACTAGGAGAAGAGGGAAGAACTCTGAATTGTGCTATAAATTAAGAAACTTTATGTGAAATTATATATTTTCTGATTACCTTGTTCAGATATATATTGAGCAAAAGAGCAAATACAAGTTGGAGAAATGTCAGATAAACAAACCCTGACATCTGTAGAATTTTTATGGTCTGACTTATCTCAAACACTGATTTTACTCAGTCATCCTTCATTCTTTATATCTACATGTCTAGTGGCACATGCATTTATATTTTATATAAAGGGCAGAGTCTAGTCAGAGCATTTGAGTTAGGCTGTTAAAAATAAATTAAGGAACAGCAGGTGAAAATGATTCTTCCACATGAATATTCAAAGTTTACCTCAGCCAGATACTGTAGAAAGAATAATAAAGAGCAAAGAAACTTTGATGGGACCAAGGCATGGAGATGATCAGAAATTAAAGTTTTATTAAGTTTTATTGGCACCAGCTTGAGATGACTCAGAAAACATACTCAGGAGTGGCAGGATCTCATTGCCAGAACATCCACTATCGGTGTGCGGTTGGAGGGAAAACTTCTCCCACTGTACCCAGCGCTGTATTGCTCGTACTTTACCATATCAATTAATAAATTGATTGCTGCTTGAACATTGGCCTAGTCAAGCTTTTTCTTTCTAACATTTGTGTTTCCCCTGCTGCTCCCCAGACCCCGTGCACGGGCCGCAGAACGTGGAGGTGGTGGACATCCGCTCGCGGCAGCTGACGCTGCAGTGGGAGCCCTTCGGCTACGCCGTGACGCGCTGCCACAGCTACAACCTCACCGTGCACTACCAGTACGTCTTCAACCAGCAGAAATTCGAGGCAGAGGAGCTCATCCAGACCTCCTCCCACTACACCCTGCGGGGGCTCCGGCCCTTCATGACCATCAGGCTGAGGTTGGCCCTCTCCAACCCCGAGGGCAGAATGGAGAGCGAGGAGCTGGTGGTGCAGACTGAGGAGGATGGTGAGTTGTGGTGGGGCATACAATGTGACTCACTTGAGGTCACCAGGTGTGATGGTGTTCACAGGGGTCCCAGGACGAGGGAAGAGATAAGAATCTTGACTCCATGTTTCAGTAGGCTGGTTTATTATTTTATTATATATATTATATTAAAATGATATATCATTTACAATATACATATATATATATTGTAAATTCTATCATTTACAATATACATATATATATGTATATTGTGACTTATATCATTTACAATATACATATATATGTATATTGTAAATTATATTATATCATTTACAATATACACATATAGCCTCACAAGGCCACCTCCTGCCAGAAGCATTACAAGGATTTCATCAGAAGGCTAGCAAGGAAAGGAAAAGAATGATAATAAAATCTTGTGGCTGCTCACAGCCACGACACAGCTGGCTGTCATTGGTCATCAAGTAAAAACAATTTCACATGCTGGGTAAACAGTTCTCCAAATCACATTCCAAAGCAGAAAAACATGGAGAAGCTGAAGCTTCCCAGCTTCTCAGGAGAGAAAATCCTGGCAAAAGGAATTTTCATAAAATATGTCTGTGACAGTGGGGTTGTTTGGTTGGGTTTGGAGGGAAGACTCATTTTTAAGTTGTAAATAACAGCATAACCTTCTGTCCCACAAGAGTGGTGCAGCTTCTCTGGACAGTGTGTCTGTTTTGTGTGTAAAACTTGTAGGCTTAAATGATTTCCATTTCACAGCTGTGTTCTTGAAAGGGTGAAGGTCCCTGAAGTGCTTGGGCATTACAGACACCAGTCTGAGAGGCTGTTAAAGAGCTGTACGTTTAACTCTTGGTGTTCTGAACCACCCAGCAGCTTCCTTTGTCATATGGACAAATGCAATCCTGGTATTTATTGATTTTTCCTGTGCCTTCACTAAAAATAAGGCATCTCAAAAAATGTATAGTTCCTTCTTTTCCAGAGTATAGCTTTTCTTAAAGGTGATCTTCTGGACATCACATTTTATAGAGATCTCAGAAGCAAAATTAATTGTGGGTATAAAAGAAGGGTTGTGGATATAAAAGAACAGTTTTCTAGAGGAATTGATGGAAAGTTTCAAAGTGTTATTATCCCACCAGAGCTATTTCAGACCAAGGACTAAATTCCTCTGCTTGGGCTGTACAAGGTGCTGTCCTGAGTTTCTCTCAGCTGAAAGTGGCTCCTTCAGCTCCATATATCACATGGGGAGACACAAAAGGATGGCAGATATTTCAGAAAAATGAGCAGGGTTTTTATCAGACAGGCTTGGGAGTGCATTTAGTTGGTTATCTCCCATGGCATTAACATTTTGCTGGAGTAGGTGGATTTTTTTTGAGCTGGCCTTGTAGCTGTAATGAAATATAAATCTTGCATTGTTACTTCACTAAGCGAATCAATCTTTCCTGTGGATAAAGGTGTGCAGCCCCTTAGCATCTCCATGCCAAGGTGCAGTCTGGCTGTTTAGGTGGAGAGTTCTGCTGTTGTGTGGGTAGAGAAGGACAAATTAAATTCCCTGCTGCTGCTCTGCTGTACTGGAATAAAATCATACTGAAATTAGCATCATATTTTCATGGATTCTGATTTTATTTGTCACATAGTGGTTACATTAGGGTATTGTTATTTGAACCAAAAGTTGAATAATAAGCCTTTCACATTGATAGTAGCTTGGTAATGGTAGTGCCTTGAGGGATTTTAATTTTTAATTTTTATTTATTTATTTAAGACTCTGCTTCCTGTCTGATGGCCTTTTGGTGTCTCATGTATGTGCAGCTGGAGCTGGTGGAGTTTTTAACACAGTTTGTCTGGGTTCTTTTCCCCCTGCAGTTCCTGGACCCGTTCCCTTGGAATCTATCCAAGGAGGACCTTTTGAAGAGAAGATCTACGTTCAGTGGAAGCCTCCAAATGAGACAAATGGCATCATTACACTCTATGAGGTGAGAAGAACAGATTGTTGTCAAGGAATACGTGCCACAGGGCCTTTTTCATGTGTGTTTAAGCCAATCCTGAGCTCTCAGAGATCTCAGCAGGTGCTAAAAGAAGCCTGATTAAAATAGATAAGAATCTTCAAGATAGTCTGTTGCTACCACTGAAAAAGTTTCCCAGTTCAAAAAAGAGAAAGATATCTTTCCAATGTTTGTGGCAAATTGAGAGCCACACATTTCCCCATGTCTCAGGCGCCCTGTTTCCTTCTGCAGTAGCTCCAAGGTCTGTTTGCTTTCCTTTGTTTTTTTCACCTTGAGGTAAAACACTACTAGGTTTTATACCTACACACTGTAACTGATTCCTCTTTGCCTTCCACCTGTCACAGCACTTCCTGGCAATATCAGCAGGATGCAACCATCAACTCTCATCTGTTTTTGAATGTTTCAGTGATAATATTTATCCATCCCAACAATTTATCTGATGACAAAGCAGAGCGCGTTATGGGATGATCAGTGACCATCCTGGATGAGAAATAAACAATTAAATGTGATTATAGAGTTTATCAGAGATGGTGTTTCTTGTGAAGTGTTACTGCTGCCATGTGGTCCTGGTGAAACTCTCCATAATGTCATGTACACCCAAATATGTGGAACAGGAATGTAAGAGGAGGGACTCTTCAGGGGATCATGTGCAATGAAATACAATCCTACAAGAGAAGGTGAAGGCACTTGGATTAAACAGCAGAAAGTGGTGCACTAGTACTGGCTGAGCCCAGTTTATGGGTTCAGTATTTACCTCTGTAAGATTAGAGAAAGTAAAAATAATTTTGTTTTTATGGTGACATAAAACCCCTCACTGTAGCTTGTGCAGCATTTTCTGACACAGAGGGCCAAGAACCAATATTTCACTCTCTCTTTTGTGCTTTTTGTACAAACTCACTTTAGAGAAGCCACAGGTGCAAGAAGCAGCTCTGCCACTGCTGATGAGGTTCTTCCCCTTTCCTCTTCCCATCCAGCCTCTCATCTGGGACAGGGTGTCCTGTGATATGTCACTCCCAGATGTCCTTACTAGCACTGTCTCTCTGTCACAGTCACTTGAGGAAAATGAAGCAGGCTTAACATCAGTGAGATCTTACACTCCAGCATGAGCAAGGGATGGAACTTTCTCCTGTAACTTCACTTTTACGTCATCATTTGGCTCACAAAGGCCAGACTGAGTTTGACACAGCAACACTAAACAGATGAACAGAATTTCTTCTTGGTTATTTAGTGTCATTTCAGCTGTGCTGAAATCCTTGACTAAGTCTGGAGTCATTGTTGGTCACTGTTGAGACACTTGTGGAAATGTCTGTGGGGTGCAAATCATCTGTCAGTGCTGAAATAGAACCAGCCCTCATCATTTCATGATCTTTGAGGGTGTCTGTGTAAGGAATTAGGCTATAAACCTGAGTGTGTTTTAAAGGAATTAATCTGAATAGAATGTTATAAGCTCATTTTTTTCTGGCAACACAGGTGACCTATAACAGAACACATTTTAAATGACCCAAGTCAAATGATGCAAATGATGCAAAAATAACTCCTTTTAATTTTTAAAGAAGCAGTTTCTTACTAAAATATTGCCTTGGGCTCAGCTTGTTGAAAGGACTTCAGCAATCTGAGTAGCTTTTCTGGCAGAGCAGCTGCCTGAGACACTTTAATGCCTGCAGGGTTGTGATGCATCGTGACAGTGCCTTTGCCCCTGAAGTCACAGCATTGCTCCAGTCTCAGCGGAGGCATAAACAAATTTCTCTTTTCTGATAATGACTCTCTGCATATTTGGCAGCTGGAGACAAAGAGAAGTCAAGGTGAATTCAAACTCTTCCCTCTTCCTCCTTTTCCTACTCCCCCTCACCTCCAAAATGATGAACATCTGACTGCTAGAAACACCAGGAGAACCAGAGTGTCTGGAGGCTGTCACAATGAAAATGTTGTCCATTCCTGTCCCTTCTTCCATATGAAAACTCCTACAGAAGCTCTCCATTGTCCATGAAAGCCTGAGACAAGTCCATCACTGTGACGGTGTTCACAGGGGTCTCAGGTTGAGGGAAGAGATGGGGATCTTACTCCATGTTTCAGAAGGCTGATTTATTATTTTATGATATATATTACATTTAAACTATACTAAAAGAATAGAAAAAAGGATTTCATCAGAAGGCTAGCTAAGAACAGAATAGGAAAGAATGATAACAAATGTTTGTGGCTTGGGCTCGCTGTCTGAGCCAGCTCACTTTGATTAGCGATTAATTAGAAACAACCACATGAGACCAATCACAGATGCACTTGTTGCATTCCACAGCAGCAGATAATCAATGTTTATAGTTTGTTCCTGAGGCTTCTCAGCTTCTCAGGAGGAAAAGTCCTAAGGAAAGGATTTTTCATGAAAGATGTCTGACACATCAGCTGGAGATAAAAATACAGGAGAGCAGTTGCACAAGCCAGAGCACTCTCAGGGTTCTTTGCTCTGTTTGGAACATGGGGATCCATGCAGGTGGAACCCACACAATTCCTGTACACTGTCACTGGTGTCATTGGGAATTCTGCTCTGTCCTGGGAGATTCAATGATCTTCCAGTGAATTTGAAGCTCTCTGGAAGCTCTGCAGTTGTGTTGCTGTTTTTAGGGAGAAAAACCACAAAGGCCTGTGAGCATTTATTAAAGAAAAAAAAAAAAACCTGCAAAGTATTTATTAAGTATTATCACTTTATGAACTTGAGTTAGTGGTGTCAGGTCCTGCATTACACCTGGAGGTAGCTGGCTAAATTCACACATTAGAATTGTGCCACTGAGAGTCTCTCAAACCCCTCTGGGTACAAAGCCTCCTAATAAAAACAAATAAAACCTCACCTTCTCCTCCTAAGTAATAGTTCCCTCCTCACCATCACCATCACAATCTGATTCATTGTATCTGGATATTGTATTTTCCCTCTAATTCTCTTTTTAAAAAAATGTTATCAGCTTCTAAAATGCTTCAAAATAATCATGCTGTCTATTCTACTTACATCCCACTTGTTTCCCTTTGGGACTGATTTTCTTCTCAGGTCCCTAATCATTCCTGCATCTCCCTGCCAGATGTCCCCATAACCCAAATTGCTGTTGCAGTTTTCATATCCACTGCTTGGGTGCCAACTGGGCTGGGATTCAGCAGCATAACCTTCAGCAAGTCTTTTGGCAGCCAGAGGCACTAATTTCATAATGACTGCATGCTTCTAAAGAGCCTAAACAGAATGGAAGGACCTTAATGAAGCTTTTTGACTTCTACAAGTCTCTTCTGATGGGTATTTTCCTTCCAAATGCTATTGCTGCCTTTTAACAAAGCAAGAGTGTTGCATTTATAAGTGGTTAAACCCCCTCTGTGTTCAGTTGCAGAATTGTTTCACTGGGTACAGAAACAGCTGGATTTTTAAAAAGAAGGACCTTTCAGATCCCTTGTAATTGCAGTTCTAGATCCTTCTCTAATTGCAGTCTCTTTCTGGGGAGCAGAAACCTCTTGTTCAAGACAACTTGGAAAGCTCTGGGAATTACAAATCATTTAATCAGTGTGCTGGAAAGATGAGGATATGAGCTGGGATCATTCTGGGTGCTGGGGTGATGCCTTGTGAGGGCTGACCTAGAACAGAGGCTGGACAGAGCTAAAGAATAAAGCAGGGATTTATTAAAAGGCCTCCATGGATCCACCTTGGGCAGCACAAGAGCCCGGCCAGAGCTGCACCCAACATGAACCAAAATGGTCCCAAAATGCACAACAGGTAATGGGGTCTGTCACTGTGATCAGTTCTGCTCCATTTGCACCTTGCAGTTCATTGTCCCATTCCAACTTTAGCCCATGCACTCCTACCCTGCTTGTTTTTCTCTCTCCAGCCCACGGTGTTTGTGCTCTTGGGCTGAGATTTGGATCATTTGTCCTTGGTGCCCAGCTAGAGCAGGAATTGTTTTGTGTCCCTGCTCTGTGCACAGAGACCACCATCCCCTCAAATGAAGCTCAGAATTATACACTAAGGCAGCACAGAATCTGAAAAATATAAAAGCTAAACCTGAGGCATCAGGAGAGCCCAGCAAAGCTCACAGATGTGTGGTGAGACAGGAGGTGTCAGTCTGTCTGTCCATCAGGGAAGCTAGGGAGATGCTATTGGAAGCAACAGAGGGAAAGCTTAAAGCCTCTAACAGGTCATCAGGTGGCCTCAAGGTGTGTAGGTACCTACAGGAGGCAGGCAGACCAATCTGTGCTCAGAAACCCAGCTGAGAGCAGAGCTGGGCTTTGCTAATTCCTTGGTTTGGGTAAAAGGCTCCATGCAGATGGTTCTGCATGTGACACTCATGGAAGAGGCACTCTTACACTGATATTGTCCTTATTATCCCTGGGAGCAGCCTGTGAGTGGCACAATTCAGTAACATCTCAGTAATCCTGCCCCACCATCAGTCTCCTGGCACACTGAAGCACCATGACTTGTTGAAATTTCTATTTTACATTTTTTTAACCAGTCCTGAAAAGCTGTTCTGCTTTAAAATCCCTAATAATCAAATTCTGCTCGTTGTCCTCACACCATGTGGGAGTTAAGCTTCAAAGCCTTTGTGTACAAAGGCATGCAACAAAGATTTATTCCTTTTAATTTATTTTTTCCTAAGTGTGTGTAAAGTCAAACTACCATCAAACAGACACTGTCATTGGGCTGCAAGGGCAAGCAATCTAATTTAAAGTCATGAACCAGCTTTGGCACTAAAATTCTTCTGCTTTTAGATGAAATGAGGTTGTCTAAGATGTATGTTTAGTGCAAACTTCCATCTACAAAATTTTAGGAAACAAAACTTATTTATCTCTTAATTTTGCTGTTTGGGCAGCTGAGAGCTTTCAGGTGCATTCTGTGAGTGATGCTGGCTTTTGCCTTTGTAAATACATTTTTTGTATGTATTCTATTGCTCAGAATTGTCAGTTTTTAGAATATTTCACCCTTAATCAGGAAGAAAAAATGGGAAACC